AAAAAGGTTCTGAAGAAGGGTCTAGGCCCAAAACGTCAGCCTTCCTGCTCCTCTGATGCTGCTTGACCTGCTGTGTTCATCCAGCTCTCCACCTTGTTATCTCAATTACAGATTACTGTCACTTTTGAAGTTCAGTCACTTTAAAAATCTTTGGGCGCATGGGGAAGCTGAGGTAGTATGAGATGACAGTGGTCAATTTCAGTGAACCTGCTTACACAAGAGCAGTCATAGAAAGGACAAGACGATTCACCTTTCACATAATTTTCTTGATTGAGAAATGTAGACATGCTGAATAAACAATGAAACTCTCTCTCTTGGTCTCTCTCTCTCTCACACACACACAGACACACACACACACACCCCATCTGTGGAGAGGAATCAGAGTTGTGAGGAAGGATCACTGGACCAGAAAAATTAAGATTTCTCTCCCTGGATGTTGCCAGACCTGCTGAGCTTTTCCAGAAATTTATCTTTTTGTTTCTCATTTGCAGCACCCGTAGTTTTTTTTTTGAGGTTTTATTTAATTGAAGTCCTCCTCTATTCACTTGTAATGCAATTGAAATGCCAATTTTGTTGACAAAATCTTTCATACTCTGAATGGTGATGGGATCGTACTGTTCTTATTCCTTAGTTATAACATAATAGTCATGATATAAGGCGTGTTCGTGGAGGGCCAAATAACAGATTATGATCAACAAATTACATAAAGCAAAAATAATCTGAATGTATTTTGCTCTGGGGGCCCAGGTTCGCTTTCACCCTCGGGCGACTGTCTTTGCGGAGTTTGCACATTCTCCCCGTGGCTGCATGTGTTTCTGCCGGGTGTTCCCGTTTCCTCCCACTGTCCAGAGATGTCCAGGTTAGCTGGAATGGCCATTCAAAATTGCCCACAGTGCCCAGGAGTATGTACGTTCGGTGGATTAGCCATGAGAAATTCAGGGTTATAGGGGAGGGGAATGGTTCTGGATGGGATGCTCTTCGGAGTGGCAGTGTGGACGCGTTGGACTGAATGGTCTGTTTGCACACTGTAAGGATTCTATGAATTAACAGAGTCTAACTTGCTTAATCCGGCATTCTTTCCCAGTGACACCGTCTTCCCCGACACTTTATGGTCTAGTCTCCTCCTGTCAGCAACGCAACACTGATGGTTCTGTGATTTTTGGTTGTTTGGCGATGGACTATTCCCCTGACGCCACCAGTGTGACCTGGAAGAAACGTGGGGAGCCGATCACAACTGGATTTAAGACCTACCCATCGGTGAGAAACAAGAAGGGAACTTACACCCTAAGCAGCCAGTTAGACCTCAACGAGTCAGACGCGGAATGCAGCCAAATCTCCTGTGAGGTTCGACACAGTGGGTCCGACAAGAGCACTGGAATGCCATGTAAGTGTTATGGGAACGGGGTAAACAGATATGTGTGCTTTATGTGAATAGGGCATTATTCATAACACTTTTCACAGAATCATAGATGTACACAGCAGAGAAGATGGCCCTTCGGCCCATCCAGCACATACCAATCAAAGAAGTAAGTATTTGCCTCAATACTTCCAACATGTTATGAGGGTTTCAGCTTCAACATGACTCACAGGCACTCAGCTCCACATCTATCATCGTCTGAACGATTTATTCCACTCTAAACGTCCTGCCCTTATCTGAAAACTATGTATCTTATTGCGAGGTTTGGATGATTTAAGTTACAGGGAAAGGCTGAATAAGATGGGGTTAATTTCCCTAGAGATTCAAAGACTGGAGACCTGTCAGAAGCTTATAAAATCATAAGCAATATGGACAGAGTGAATAGCCAAAGTCTTTTCACTGGGATAGGGGAGTCCAAAACTAGAGGGCATAAGTTTAAGTTGAGAAGGCAAAGATTTAACAGGGACCACGCAATGGGTGATATGTGTATGGAATGATATGCCAGACGAACTGGTGGAATACGATTACAACACTTAAAAGTTATTTGGACAGGTACATGGACAGGAATGGTTTAGAGGGATATGTGCCGAAAGCTGGCAAATGTGACCATATTAATTTGGGATATCTGGCCCCAGTGGACGTGTTAAACCGAAAGGTCTGTTCCCATGCTGTACATCTCTATGACTCTGACCTTTTGACAAGTCCTGTGCTACAAGCGATAGGTGGGCATGCGCACTAAAGAATCTTGTGCATCCCAGGGTTCTACTATTTATAGTGTTAAACCTTGCATTTTTTTCAGCATACATGCATCACCTCACACTTACCCAGAATGATTTCCATTTGCCATGATCAGCCCATCGAGCCACCTCTTATTTATCCTCCTATGCTGTACAATTTTAAGCTCACTACTTACAGCTCAACAATTTTCATTCCATCTGCGGAACTTCTGGCCAACCCCTCCAGATTCAGCTCTAAATTGTTTGTATACATCACAAACAGTAAGGATATTTATACTGATCCCCGCAGAGCACCACCAGACACAGACCTCCAGTCACACAAACACACCACGACCATTACCCTCCAATTCCTGCCACTTAGCCAGTTCTGGATACAATTAGTCACATTTTCTCAGATCCCATTGTCTCATAGCTTTGTTATCATCTACATACCTGGTTGCTCTTTGAAAAATCCTCTCAAGTTCGTTAGACATGCCTTCCCCTCAATAAAACTTGCCGAGAATTTTTGATTAACCTATTCCAAATGAAGATTAAATGTGTTCCTCGGAATTGCTTCCAATATTTTCCCTACCACTGAGCCGAGGTTGACTGTCCTCTGGTTCCATGGTTTATCCTTTGCTCCCTCTTGCTTCATGGTAACACTTTGATGACTTACAGTCATTTGAGATATCCTCTGTGATCAAAGAGGAATTCAAAATTATTGTCATCACCTCAACCACTTCCTCCTTTTCCTCACTCAACAGCCCTGGGTACATTTCATCAGCCCCGTAAAACAACACAGAGCATCCACTCATCTAATGCAGATTTCTTAAAGCAAATCACAACTCTTCTCCATGCTTTCTGTACCCGGATCGTCCACTTTAGTAGTGAACTCTGACACAATGTATTCGTTTAGAATATAACCTACGTGCTGCTACTCCCCACAAATAATATCACTGTAGCAATTAATGGGCCCTATTGTTTCCCTTGTTATCCCTCTATCATTAATCAACTTGTAACACAGCTCTTTTTTTAAAAAAAAAAGTATTTTCCTATGTCAACCATTATTAGTTTATGCTTCGTTTTTCTCTCTTAATTTCACTTTTAAAACTTTCCCTTGCACGTTCTGTACTTCTTGAGAGCTTCCATTACTTTGAACATTCGACATATGCCATAAGCCTTCTTTTTTTCTCTTTATATAATCCGGTATTACTTTTGATGTCCAGGTTTCACAGCATTTTTCATCATATGATGTTTCTTTGTTGGAACATGTTGACCTTTTAGTCTTTCTATTTCCTCTTTGAATGCGTCCGACTGCTATGACTCAGATTTACCAATAAGTGTCCGCTCTCAGTTCACTCTGATCAAATCGTACCCAACCTTATTCAATCTGACCTTCCCATGTTTCACAATTTTGCTTCGGGACTATTACTATTCCTTTTCAGAACAATCTTGAATCCAATTGATTTGTGACCACTCTCTACAAAATGTTTCTCCTTTGATACATTATGCACTTTGTCGGCCTCATTACCTAAAGTTAATTCCAGGTTCAGCCTTCTCTTGCAAGACCTTCTCCGTACTGTATTAAAAGCTCAATTTCACAATTCTGCTCCCTCGGGACATTTGAAACGATGAATGCCCAGCCTACATTGAGGAAGTTGAAATCCTTACAATCATTCCCCTATTTACGTACAATTGTCTGAAAATTTGCTGACGCATCTGCACTCTTATGTCTCTCGGACCTGTAAAAGGGCCAACAGTGCTTGCCGAGCAGTCTTTTTGCGTTATTTTGTTTTTTTAAGTCCTTTTCATTCGTTTTCATTTGAGGAGCTATCTATGATTTCATTCCTCTTTTCTGCTGAAAACATCCTGCTCAATATTGAAACAGACACACACTCCCTCCGTTTTATAACTTCCCGTGTCTCACTTGAAGGCTATATATCCTGCAATAATGTGCCCTGCCCCTTTCTCAACATATCTCCGTGATGTCAATCACTTAATTTTATCACATCTCTCCTCAACTCGTCGGAATCCTTTCATTAAAATGCAGACTGTCCAACATTGTTATTTGGACTTTCTTTTGACTGATGTATAATTTTTTTGCCATATTTACTACTTCCTGTTTCTTCCAACTTTGGCACTTGATATCAACCTGCTGATTATTCTGCCTGAATGTGAGCTTTTGTAGTATTCTGCATAACTAGGATCCTTGGAATGTTTAGGTTATATCTACTAACGGCAATGAACTTTGGTAGATAAGAACTGACTGTATTTGTTCTCAAATCCATCAGATAATTTTCATGATATGTTTTCTTAAGGTGCACCAAAACCTGACCCTCCGACTGTTCTCCTAACTGTGAGTTCCAGTGAAGAAATCGAGAGCAGAAAATTTGCAACCATCGTCTGTTCAATCATTGACTTCCATTCAAAGTCAATCTCCGTGACTTGGTTGAAGAACGGACGACGTATGGATTCTGACATCTTCACTTCTCCCGTGTGTGAAGCGAATGGAAACTTCTCAGCGACCAGTCGCCTGAGAGTCCCTTATGCTGAATGGTTCGACAAAGCAGTCTATACATGCCAGGTCAATTATGATGGGACCATTCAAAGTTGGAACGTCACCGGACCTCAGGGTAAGAGGCACATACCAAGAGAAAGAAAACATATTCTGATCTCTGATGTAAATCAAATACACGAATTTATCAGGCTTAGTGAATAGGACGGAACAACTTCTAATTTGAGATCATGCAGTGTGTATCTCAAATCATTGTGAGTGTTATGCAAGCATTGCTCATAATACAAAGCAGAGAAACATGTTTCCCTCCATGTTGAAGACATACGGCAGTTAGCTGGATTCGTTTGTTGTTTGACAATCCTTGGAGAGAGAGTGGGAATGCTGAATCCATTGATGGTAACGGCCTCAATGATAAGGGGGTTGGGGGGTGGGCGTCGTGGAGAGAGCTCGTTGAAACTTGGAAAACACTGAAGGACTGAGATAGAGTGGATGCGGAGAACATGTTTTCACTAGTAGGCGAGACTAACAGCCGACAGCACAGCCTCAGTGTCGAGGGACAGCTATTTAGAACGGGAACGAAGAGAAATTTCCTCAGCCAGGGAGTGGTGAATCTGTGTATCTCACTGCTGCAGAGGGCTGTGGCGGTCAAAACATTGAGAATATATAAAACAGAGATAGATTGGCTCCTGAGATCGTAGGAACTGCAGATGCTGGAGAATCTGAGATAACAAGCTGTAGAGCTGAATGAACACAATAGGCCAAGCAGCATCAGAGGAGCAGGAAAGCTGACGTTTCGGGCCGAGACACTTCTTCAGAAAATGACAGATTGGCTCGTGCTTAGTACGGGGAGAAGGCGGGAGAATGGGGTGTTGAAACATATCAGCCATAATCGAAAGGCAAAGCAGACTTGATTGGCCGAACAGCCTGATTCTGCTCCTATATCTTTTGATTTGTGGTCTGAAGATGACATAGTACAATATGAAGCGACACTTATTTGAAAATAAAACAAAATGCGTTCAATAATTCGTTCCAATGTCAGAATTATCTGTCGGCCTTGAGCACTGTCGGACAAAATTTTACATGTTATGGAACACTTTAACTTCAATCATGACACCAAAATACAGACCAAATGAGTATCATACTTGATTAACAGGGATAAACGTGATCTAATCGAACCTGTTTTAGCTGTTTTCTGTAATTAGTGGATATGGCAGGAGCATAAATTCTGGTGGAAATGTCGCAATAGGGATGAATGGACGAGGAATGAGAGCCAGGATGTTAAAGCTTGGATTCAGGTTGGATATGTTTACACATTGAGTAGTGGAAGTCTGAAATTTACCAGTGCAAATGTCAGGTAAGTTTGCACGTCAATACAAATCCCTCCTGCTTGATTGTTTTTTGATCTGTGAAGACATTAAAAAATGCAGATTAGTAAATGAAGTGAAACTATACAGCATTCATTAACTACTGAATGGGGGAAAAGGCTTGAGGTGAAGACTGTCCTGCACTATTTCCGATGCTGTACTCATTTTCTTGTTTTCAGGTCTACACGACATTCGGCATACAAGAAATAATATCTCATAAGATATTTTAGAGAATGATCTCACACCAATAATGCAAATTATTTTCCATCACCTTAAATCACATTGAACAGAAATTCCGTGGAAGTTCACCACCCCTGTAACATATTAAAATCTCCGTAAATACACGAGGAATAAGAGAATAACTACGTTTGATGACAGTTTTAATGAAATTGGGATTTGATTTGGCATTCAGTGTGACCGCCAACATTTGCATGTATGCCTCATAAATGTAAAAATGAATTCATTATATTGAGTGGAGATAAGTTTTGTCACAAGTATCAATCGTTGGCCTTAATTGAGTGAAGAATTCTGAAAGGAAGGTTACTGAATGGGTTAAATTATGGTACCATTGATGTTTTTTACTTCACAGCATACACTTGTTCCAAGTCAGTGTTCTTTAGGAATAAGTACAGAGGGCACGAACGTTTTTACGTATCAAAATACATGAACAAAAGTTAAGATTGTTTCAGGAATAGTTGGAAGCTGCCATCTCGAAGGAAGTTTCTTTACCTTGTGAGGAAATAGACTGAACACTGGTGTTTTGTTCCTCCAGAGGCATTTTTCATTGATTCTAATTTCTACTTCATTGTAGTTTCTGAGTGCCATGGTTACACAGCCAAAATACTACCACCACCAGTCGAACAGGTCCTACTGGAGGCGACGGTGACGTTAACATGTGTTGTGTCCAATCTTCATTCTGGAGTCAACTTCACCTGGTTACAAGACGAGAAGACTGTGAAATCAGAGATTGCTCACCAGTCCGGAGAGCATTCCGATGGTGCAATCAGCAAATTAGATATTTCGACTGAAGCCTGGCTGAGTGAGGTTGTTTTCGAATGCGTGGCGAATCATCAGTATCTACCGACTCCTCTGAGAGACTCCATCCACAAGGAGAAAAGTGAGTGAATAAATGAAAGCACAAAGTATCGTATGTGTAATTTAGATCCAGTCACAGCGATAGCATGCTTTGATTAGTAAGGAACTGACACCGCTGGGAGCATTGATGATGCACACCCTGGCAGGATCGCTAAGTAGCTGATTAAGAAAAAAATGCAGACAAGTAAATTCTATTATGATTAAGTCAAACAATTTGTGAGGACACCAGGAGTTTTGTGATGGAAACACCAGTAATGACAAATGGACAAAATTTCCGAGTTCTGGTCTGGAAACATGGGTACCACGTTCTAACTAAAACTTTTTTTTAAATGAATAGAATGGACACCACTCTGTTCCTTTAAAATGAAGGTGAATAAATCCCAAATTAAAAATGGAATATTTTCAAATTCGGTAAAATCCCAATATTGATTCTTGATTTTTTTAAAATTTATTTATATTTGTTTCAAATATTCTGCAGTTAAAAATCCACTGGAGCCATCGGTGACTGTCCTCCTACCAACGACAGAAGAACTCTCCATGCAGAGGTTTGTTTCCCTCACCTGTTTAGTCAGAGGTTTCAGGCCCCAAGAGATCTTTGTCAAGTGGACAACCAACGACAAGCCGGTTAATCCCAGTAACTACAAGAACACCGAAGTGACAGCAGAGAGCGACAACACCTCCTTCTTCTTGTACAGCCTGCTATCGATTGCAGCGGAGGAGTGGGCCAGCGGTGCTTCTTACTCCTGTGTGGTGGGACATGAAGCGATTCCGTTGAAGATCATCAACAGAACGGTTGATAAATCCAGCGGTAAACCGAATTTTGTGAATATTTCGCTTGCACTGATGGACACCATTAATTCATGCCAATGAAAATCACAAGGTTACACTTAAGAATTCAATAAAAGAAATAAAGTGTTTTCTTTCCTCCAGTTGTTATTTAAGTAGACAACCGTTTAATTTATTGTGTTTCCCACTTTTAATAATATTCCGTTCTTCCAGTTAAAGTCGATAGTTTGCAGGTCCAGGACTCGTGTCTGGTGTAGTCAATGCTCCCTGTTCATATCAGTCCTGGTTCAGAGACAGAATAAAGCCTACACATTGCAGTGCTCTGCAAAGTACCTTCTCCTCTACTTTAAATCCCACTGTAATGAAATTTTATAATGTCCATTTTATGAAAAATGAATACCACGAATTTTGATTGGTGTTCCTGATTCCTCATTCCTATAAAATTCATGCCAGCTTTAAACTGTGGTATTGCACCAACTGGGAACTTAAATTTAAGAGATTTCTAAAATTATTTTGGATTGGGACATACCAACGAGAAAGAATTACTATGGGCACCAATCGCATAGAGTGCAAAGTAACTTGCATTTAACCTTTCTTTCTGGGGTCTGCCAGTGATTTTGCACCAATTCATCAGTCCACAGAATGTATCTTCACTTCCACACCAAAGAGAAACCGAAAGAAAATTTGTTATTGTCGAGCAGATGGAGAAGAGAGGGGAGCAATTAACAGACTGTTTGCTTACTCACGTGGAAAGTTTTCACGTTAGACGCCCTCTGTGATCCTGGTAGCTGACAGAAGCAGGCGGCTAACTGCCTACTGGTCAAAGATTTAAAATTTACATTCAAAATAATTCCTTGGAAGCATGTTGGACGCGCTTGTCCTGTTAATAATCTGTTAACATTGATTCCACATAATTCAAAACTAAACTGGTGATTCATCAATCCAGTTTATATTCCATAGTTTTGACTCAATTTCCTGACGCACGTGGGGTCAGTTCAGGTATTTGAACACTGACGTCATTTTGTATCACTTACAGAACACTTGCAGATATTTTCTATCCAACATATTTAGAAATACTATTATACATCTCTGGACTTGTGGGGAGTGAACTCAGATCCCTTGTCCCAGCGACAGAAATTCTCTGAATGCAACAAGAGTCGTTCACTAAACGCTTATCTCTCCACGAAGGCGAGAAATGTTCCTTACACCATCAAGGTCGAACCGAATTACTGGCAATCGATTAAAATTGCAACAAAAGTAAAAATGAAAACAGTGTGGGATAAGAGCAGAAACAAACACAGATACACACACATGCTTACAAACGCACTAAAAACGCATTTATTCAGGCTCGCACTTAAAGGGTCATACATATGCGCACACATAAATACACATACAGATAAGCCATCATACACAGTATACGCACAGAGACACACATGCATATGATACATGAGCATTCGTTTAAACTCACACAAAAACACAAGTACACAGAAAAATACACACAGAAATAAACAGGGGGACGCACAAATATTCGTGCAGATACACATTATTAAACACACACATACAATACCCAAGAAATGTCCTCCCACATGTACAATCACACAGATACATATGAGCACAGAGATAAAGATTAATCTCAGTTAGGGGGATCACGTTGGCAAACTGGTTAGCACTGCTAACTCACAGTAGCAGGGACCGAGGTTCAATTCCAGCCTTAGGCGACTGTAAGTGTGGAATTTGTATGTTCTCCCCGTGTCTGCGTGTGTTTCCTCCGGCTACTCTGGTATTCTCCCACAGACCAAAGATGTGCAGGTGAGGTGTTTAGCTGTGCTAAATTGCCCATAGTGTCGAGAGAGGGAAATGCAGGGATAGGATAAGGGGTTGGTCTGGGTGGGATGCTCTTTGGAGGGCTAGTGTGGACTCAAAGAGCTGAATGGCCTGCTTCCACACTGTAAGAATTCTTTGATCACCATTAACCCATTTGCACAATCGTAGGTATATGAAGAAAGGCACAGCTGAATTATTTATATTTAAGATACGTTGATTAACATAGAAGCACTGTCAGGCATGTACGCAATTTATGAGTCTCACACGTAGACATGCAATTGCATAGATCAACACACAGAGGGGAATTTACAAAAAAACAAGGTAATGACACAAGTATCAGTAAAAATCCACGTGCAATAATACAAGAAATCATATCAGTAGATAAGATAGGATCCATTGGCATGCAAGCAGATATTATTCCATAAATATAAACATCCATCAAACCACGAAGTTGCATACTAACATAAGCCAACAATGGAACACAGACATGAAAATATAATAAGGTTGGGGGGAATCTGAATTCGACACATAAACACATATTTTAGACAGCATGAACGGAAAAAAAAATCACAAACTCATTAAGACATCAAAATAGGCATCAATGAATTAAGTGGCATATTAACATAAAGACGCTTATATATTCTGAAATGCACAAAATTTACAGACAAAAGCAGAACCATGTGAATGAACATACCGGCAAAAAAGCAACATCAATGTGTTTATTCATGTACAACTCCAACAAGGACACGTTCAAAGAAAGAGACGGTCATAACCAAGTACCCAAACCCTGAAGGAAAAACATACACACTAAGCTATAGACAGAAATAAACTAAGGGACACATGCACAGAAAGTTATTTTTGACGCACCCAGATTCTATAAACAAAAATATGAAACAATGTTCTTACTGTGGGTCTAATTTCTGCTCATGATTTGCCAAGACATTGGTCGCAAATAAATGCAGAAGATGAGTAATCACATTTGATCTCTTATCCAGTGATGACCACAACTTTCAACGGAACTGTATTGAAAATATAATGATATAATGAATATAATAGTTCCCTAGGTGTATGCCTGGAATGATAACAATGATTATATTCTCCAATAACAGATTAAATGATGAAATACGTCAAAATGTTCAGACATGGATAATAAAGGAACAGCAAGTGCAGTTAGTATTAGCAAGGTATTACTGAGAGTGACTCACACAATACTAGATATCAAGAGTTAAATTTGAGGAAAACTTCATGGCTTGAAGAAGATGTAACAGTTCGGAATTACATTATTTAGATAAAGAAATATCAGACTGGATCAATAAACAATCTAAATATGTACTCTCTGTTTTATATTCATAGATTCGATCGATCACACTTGGATTGAAGACTATGAAGATGATAACGGCAACATCTGGACCACTGCTTCCACGTTCATCACCCTGTTTTTCCTGAGCATTTTCTACAGCGCTGCCGTCACGCTGGTGAAGGTGAGAACAATCAAATCATTCAGACTTCAAACAGACCATTGTGGTTTGTGAAATCTCGAAGTGTGTCATTGAATAAAAATTAAAACCTGAATTCCCTGATCATAAACATCTAAACTGTTGCCTTATCACTATTTTTCAGGCTAAATGAATGAATTTTGGAGCCCATAGACTTTCCTGATCTGTTTTTCGAGGCCAGTGGATTCCAAATGTACAATCAGTCCTGGTTTCGACAGGAGATAAATTCAATTTATGAATGTGTAACTGAGACAATAATTGCTGGCTTTTCCATTTTACTTTGCTTGATATCATTGAGGTAATTACGATTGCAATAATTTTTGGCTTCCTAATTGCTTCAAGTCCATTTATAGATTATTTTTGTTGTTGTCCTTTATTCAGGACTGTTTACTATCCTTTATTTCGAGCACGTATTTTCTCTTTATGGTGACTGTTACAGATGTCCCTAACATTCACAGCTCAGAGAGCGTGTGTTCTTCTCTCATTGTGACATTCAGTCATTATGTTTACTTTTGTTAATTTTAATATAAACCTTTCGATAAAAGTGTTGTCTGAAGTGGTAAATAAACCTTTAATGAATAAGTACGAACCTTGAGCTTGTTTATTTCTTTTTTCAAGGGCCATCGGTAATGATACATTTTCCCAAGTTTACACGCCCTGCTCCATTCCCAGCCAGATGCTTTTCACTTATGTCTGATTCATACAGTTATTCAGGTTAATGCATCACTACCTTATGGCCTACTAATGTAAATCCATCTTTCACTTGGTATGTCTTATGGAATAGTCCAGAGGCAGAATCATTAGAGCGCAAGGAGGCCCTCGATGTTTCCTCTTATGCACAAAGGGTCACGTCCCCGGTCAGGTAATTGTGAAAATCAACAGCGTTGCTTCCCCAGAAGCTTATTAAAGGCAAGCAATGGAGTTAGAAAGCTTATTATACTCTGTCTAAAGCAAAACTACTGCCAACATCGGGCGAATTTGGGTTCCTAATGGGCAAATTTCCATTTAAAATGACCAATGAAACATTCAGCAGCCATAAATGTCAATGTTCAGTTTTGAACGGAGACACCTGGCCTGGCCTACATGTGACCCCAGAACAACAGCAATGTGGTTAACTCTTAAATGCCCTCTGGACAATTAGGGACGGGCAACAAATGCCACTTAGCCAGCGACGCCCTCATCTTTTGTATGAACAAAAACAACACGTGGACCCGAAGGGCTGATTCGTGGAAGGGCAGTTTTTCTCACGCTTAAGTCTCATGGAGCACAAATCCTGGATCTATTTGATATACCACAACTGCCCAAATCCCAGGGAATGAAACTATTGTCTATCTCAAAATTACCAACAGAGGTAATGTCGATCAGGCAGAGCAGAAATTAGACATGCTGGAAATATTCAGCCTTTGGAACCGGCGTGGCAAAAGACAAATTCAACGACTTTTATAGGAACTGTTCGCAGAGTCTAGAACCTGTCTGTTCTAGAGACTCTGCAGCCTTCTCTGCTTGTTAGAGTTTTTTTCTTATTCTGGGAGCAACGTATGTAACACGAAACCCTGATGACAACTGCTGCACACATTTTACATTATGCATCAATTAAGATTTGCCTGGACCACATCTGATATCTTTGTCACCCTGGAGCACTCAATGGTTGGTAATTATTTGAGGCATGATAAGAACTTGTTAAAAACAAGCTTTCCCATTTATCTTAACTTACCATTTAATCCTTGAACGTGAATGTTATACCTCAACAAGAGATCAATGATCAAGTTAAATACATATAAAAATTACACACATGCGAATTTTCAAAATTAAAATGAATTGCCCACTGAATAAAATTGGGTACACATGGAGACTCTCCCAAACTATTGGAGCTATTGTTGTACATTTTCATTGCAACTGGAATTGTCAAAAGTGCAAAATATCTCAAACAAATACTCAGGCAGATTGAAAGATTGGAAGTGTTAATGACGACGGCACTGATAGCGTGCAAAGCATTAAATATAAACTAACTATAGAAAATGTGGAGATGTGGGAGATGTTAGGACAGACTTTTATGGTTACTGTTTCACAGACAACTGACGTAATTGCTGATCAATCACAACTGCTCTTTCAAAGCATCAAACCAGGCTAAATGTTAATACAATTTTGAATGCAACAAATAATCCCGAGTCCACTGCACACTTCACAGAAACATTAATTATCTGAAATACTCGCTGCATTAAAATACGTTTCGCTTTATTTTTTTTTGTGTTGGCTCGTTTGTCAATTATATTTGACCAGCACCTGAATGTTCTCAATCCTTCTTCAGTGGAAGCAGTTTCTCCCTATCCGACTCTGGTAAAATCCAACAGGAGTTTAAGGAGCTCAACCAAATTGAAAGTTACTGTTCAGTAGCAGAGAATAGCCCCAACTTCTCAAGGACGGTGAGGTGCATCATCCCGGGAACAGTGTTGTGAATCAGTCATGCACCCTCTCTGCAGATTTTGCATTCTTTCAAAGATGTGACATCTGAAAGAGGACACAAATTTCCAGGTGACACAAGAGACTGTTTTATTTCAGTTTAACATAATTCCCTAGTCTTTCTTCTCGACAGTGGTATTTATGACGAAAGATTTTTTTTTACACTTCTATCGACATGTCATGTTACATTCCCTGATTTGTGCACATATACACTGAGGATCCTTTGCTCCTGCTCACCTTTGGTTTTGGTCATTTACAATTACGTGTTCATTACAAAAAGAAAGAAGCACGTGAAACCTCCATGAGACTGAGATCTACCTGACATAAGAATATCAACACATAACAACCCTCAAAAATTATGCATCAGACGCCGATGTCGACAACAGAAGGCAGAGATCAGAATAACTGGAAATACTGTTGATTTCCACTTGACGCCAATTCCCACAAACTCTCTGTAAAATTTTTGAAGTTCCATGCTGTTTTCTCAATATCCCAACATTTTGCCTGAAATGGTTATCAAAAATTTTCTGCAATTGTACTTTATAGGTCGTGGCACAAGAAGGACTGCAAACACTGAAATATGAGAATGTACACGATAAGGCAACTTACATTCTGAAAAGGCAAACAATCGTTGACAAATGGTTGATAAGTATGAAACAGCAGGTGAGATGAATTTGAATTAATCAAAAAACAAACAGAAAATAGGATGAAGGTACAACAGCCCAGGCAAAACCTGATCAGAGAGAATGGACTTAGTTTTTCTTTTATTGTCTTTTATATCCAGATGTGTCCTTACACACGGCGTAACTTTTTTTTATTTCTCATCACCAAGTCATCCACGGTATTTTTGTTTTCAGCCATTTCCAATCATCAGTAAATTATCCATGTCTGCAACTGAATAATTTAAGTACAAAGGCCTTTAAGGGCAATTCACACCGTCAAAAGTGAGGGAGAAGTAGGCAGAGCTGGAGGGGCCTTGCAGTCAGTCTTTTCATGTCGTGAAATATTACTGCTATATTTAGAGTGGAAATTTCTGAAGAATGGTCCAGTGAAGCTATGTGGTTGGAACTCAGAAATAAGAAAGGGATGATCACCTTGATGTGATTTTAATAGTGGCCCCAGTAGTCAGATAGAAATTGAGGGACAAATATGTAGAAAGGTCTCATTTATATGCAAGAATATTAAGGTTGTACTAGTCGGGAATTTTAACTTTCCTAACATAGAGTGAGACAGACATCGTGCTGAGGGTACAGTCGGTGAGGAATTAGTGAGGAGCGTTCGAGAAATTCATCTCAATTAATATGTAGATGTAATTCCTGGAAAAGGAGCAAAACTTGACCTTCTTTTATGATACAAGTCTGGGCAAGTGGCTGAAGTGGTAGTAGTTGAGCATTGGCGGCCAGTGATCATAACTCGATTAGTTTTAAAACACTTATGGAAGGGATAGGCTTTGTATGAAAGTTAAAGTTCTTAAATTGAATACGGTAAATTTTGATTGTCTGAGACAAGAACTTTAAAAAGTTGATTGGAATAGATTGTTCGCAGGTAAACTTACAACTGGCAACTAGAAAGCTTTCAAAAGTGAGATAATGAGAGTTCTGTGGCATTATGTTCCTGTTAGAGTGAAGGTAAGGCTGTTAAATCGAGGGAACAATGGAGAAATGAAGACATTGAGACTCTGGTTAAGAATAAAGAGGTGTCATACGTTAGGTAGAAGCAACAAGAGAAGTGAATCTCTTGAAGAGTTTAAGACGTGTAGGCACATTCTTCAAAGGGAAACTATGTGGGCAAGCAGAGGATATGAGATTGCTTTGGTAAATAATGTTAAAGACGCTCCAAAGAGATTCTACGAGCACATTCAGAGCAAAACAGTAATTTGACAGAAAATAAGGCTTGTCAAGGATCAGCGAGGTCATCTATGTGTGGAACACGGGAGATGGAAGAAATGCTAAAAGAATATTTCATGCAGGTTTATGCTGTGGAAAAAGAAATGGAGGCGAGGGAACTCAGGGAAATAAACATTGATGTCTTGAATATAATCCATATTGCAAAAGAGAAAGTGTTGAAAGTCTTTTTTAAAAAAAAGGCTTAAAGGCTGTTTATGAAGCCATAACCAAAAAGACCAATGATCGCAGAGATGTAGACGTTGTTGATGTGCATATTAGCAAAGCCTTTGACAAGCTTTTGCATGGTAGACTAATTGGTAAATGTGTGTTACATGGGATTCGAGGAGAACTTGCCAATTCGATACAAAATTAGTTTGACAGTCGGAGACAGGTTGGTGGTCGAGAGTTGTTTTTCAGTCTGGAGGCCCATGACCAGTAGTGATCCGCAGGAATTAGTGTTGATCCACTTTTGTTTATCAGTTATTTAACGGTTTTGATGAGAACATATGACTCAAGGTGAGTAAGTTTGCTGATATACCAAAATTAGTGGTATTGGTAGGACTGGAGGGTTTGTGTGAGAATGACAGGCTGCACAGGCTGGGACCTTTCTTCATTTGAGCATAGGAGATTCAGGGGTGGCCTTATAGAGGTTTGTAAAATTAAGATGGTCATGGATAAGGTGTTTAACAAAAGTCTTTTCCATAAAGCGGATCTGTTCAAAACTGGGAGCATCGCTTTTGCAAGAGAGGAGAAAAATTTAAAAGGGACCTGAGGGGAAACTTTTCCATACACAGTTGTGGCCGTGTGTGAAATGAACTGCCAGAAATAGTGGTAGATGCAGGTGCAGTTACAATAGCTAAAAGACATTTGGATCGGTACATGATTGTGAAAAGTTTAGAAAGCTATGTGCCATACACAGCCAAGTGGGACTAGTTTATTTTGGGAAACTTCGTCCATCTGTTTCCATGTTATAAGAAGCTATGATTCGATATGATTTAAGATGGGCTTATAATCCTGTGAAACTGCTTGAGACATTTTGTTACGTTAGAACTTTAGTCGTTGAGTTGTTGTTACAGTTATTGCTGTAGTTCAGTCGGGGATCCAGCGGGATTGAATGGGGCTGGACCAATATAATTCATTGGCAACGCTTGTT